ATTGTTCAACAAACGATTTGTTTTCTTTTTTTTTATATAATAACAGTAATAATTCATAATCATATGTTGTTGTCAGGATCAAGAACTGGGCTGCTTTGTAGTGAAAGTTGAATTCGGGGCACAACTGAGCGCACTACAGGGGGGAGTAGTCACGTTTATTTTCGATTTGCTTTTAGTGTTTACAACTTCATTCCCGATATTTCTTTACACAGCTAATACTATCCAAATCAAACAAGTCAGACTAAACAATCCTGCTAACTGCTTGTTAGTATTCAGGCGCTGCTGATAAAGTACGTAAAATACATTAGTAATTTAGTGGGAGAAGGATATATGACTCGTTTCAATAAGAGAGCCAAGTATTGAAATGTATAGGGGTAAATAGTCGACATAGTTTGCATTCTTTTGACCAGGAACTCTTATGACGTTGCTAGTTCTGTGAACTGAATACGTCGTATTAGTAAGATTGCGTGCAACGAACAAATAGTCGAAATTGTAGCATTCTTCGACTGGTAGCTTGATATCGTCATATAGCATCACCACATTTTGTGGAAATTACGAATTCTTTTTATTTTGATGTAAAAGATTCCACTGTAACAGTAAAATTTTTCGCTCAGAATAAAAACAAAACGTTAAAAGTTGTGCTAATAGTCTACTCTTATCACAAAAATGCTAAAGTCTCTAAGTCGTTTATCTATAGTGTAATTAAAATTATTCTTCAACGAGGAAAACTACATTTTCCTAAGTTAACTTTTTTTACTAACTCTCTTTGCTTTTTAACAGAACTATCTACATGTGCAACATGCAAGCGGGAAAAGGCAATTTTTCTCTTTCTTAGCATCGCAAGGCACCCCTCAGCGCAGTATCGTATAGCACCTCAAACTTCAGAAAGCATTTCAAGGGCTCTGAAAGCTGCCGCAGTTGCTCTTCCCTCCTTAGTAACATGTGTATCTATGTATATTTATTTTCTACTAACAACAAGAAACAAACCGTGCTTGAATAAAAATATGACCCGTAATGAGACAAGCGAAAGCAGCTACGCCTTAAAAATAAAATATCTAGAATAATAATATGAGATAGTAAAATGAATGTTAAATTCAGTGCGGAGAATGCCGGTGAAAAAAGACAACTTGGGAGAATACGGTGTTGCTTACTGAAGAAGATTTCAATTACACTATAGGTAAACGCCTTAGAGACTTGAACATTTGTGTGATAAGACTAGACTATTAGTACAACTTCTAACTTTTTGTTTTTATCTTGAGAGAAAACTTTTACTGTTACAATGGAACCATTCGCATGAAAACAAAAAAGACGAGAAAAGCATGGTCCAAAATTCTTTTCGGTTTCTATTAGGACACTTTTCTCTATCGATTCGTATAATATCACTGAAAATGGGGCTGGACACTTGGTGGAGTTCCCGCGTCAGTTAAAACCGTCTCAACTACGTTAGAATATTGTGATATACCCTATTTTACTTACATGGTAAGGTGCCGGTAATTCAAAATTTCAGCACTCTTCATTTTTTCCTTAAAAAGTAATTCAAAATTTCAGCACTCTTCATTTTTTCCTTAAAAAGTAATTCAAAATTTCAGCACTCTTCATTTTTCCCTTACTTTTGAATTACCGGCACCTTACTCTAAACTTCAATAAACGTTCTTGATGATTATTGAAAACGTTATTCTTGAATGAATATAGCTGTTGACCAAAATCTGTGAAGAACAGATCAGTGACCTCAATAAATATTGATTAACCAGAAGAGACACTTTGAGCCGGAAAGTCCGTATTTACGTCTTTGTAATTGTACCCATGCTTTACGATTTCGGAACATCTTTGTTTTTAACTTTGAGAACCATGCCATTAGCACAAACTGCTGAGTTCTATCGAGCGACGTAGTCAGATTTTCAAAAAGCTGGCACGTATTAAATTCCCTAGGCTTCCTGAAATACGTTTGCACAGCCAGTAAGGGGACACCTTCTATATCCTGATCGGGATATATATCCCGATTGGGATATAGCTATATCCCGATCAGGATATAGAAAAAAAGTAGTATCCCGATCGGGATATAAAACACGAGCTTGAAAAACTACATCGGATTCTGTTGTGTTTGATCAAAAGTGCATCAAGCACCCAGCAACTATTTTTTCGAACAAAAACCTTTAACTAATTATAGTCGAATTTATATCCCGATCGGGAAATAGGCTGTTAATCTTTTATTGCTCATAATGGGATATACTCTTGATCTAATCGCTTTCCACGTTGACCGTGTTTTTTTATTTCTTCCTTTTCGATGCCCACATATATTGGAACACAATTCTTTTCTCATGCGTCTACAATATATAAATATACGTGCTTTGTGTTTAACGGGGAATTTTCTAACTATCCATTTATACTCATATTGCCTGGCACGGTAACACTCCTTTTAAACTAATTAGATTTGATGAGAAACATGTTAATGTTTCTAAAATCTATATCCTGATTGGGATATAGATTTTCTTGATATCCCAATCAGGATATATATCCCGATTGGGAGTATATCCCGATCGGGATATGTCTCCACACTGACAGCCGCTTAGAGAAACAGCTTTTAACTATCAAGGAATCCGGCGCATCGCTCTGGGCTGTGGTGCTCTCTATCACCATAGTGCTAGCTTCAACCTTTAACCTTTGACTGTAACAGACGGACACACAGACACAGTTAGAGTTTTATTATAGTGGTATAGATTGTTTGTTTTTGCCGCATCAAAATCATATTTCCCAGAATCAGGTTTCCCTGTGTTTTTTACGAAAACGCAATTTAGTACTTTTTCTGTTCGTGGCGGTAACGGTCACATTATGACAGCTACACACTTCTGTAACCAAAATCTGTGTTAGTTGGAGGTGTTAATAGTTGTGGATATGAGGGATGAGGGTGTATTTCTTTTTTCAACAATTCCTGTTGCACATTCCAAGTAATTGTAATGAGAAAGAAAACATCATACTCATAGAAAACAGTCAGAAAAAAACAAATGTACTTGTGTAAGGTGAAAAAATACCTGATATGTAGTCTACGCATGTATATTAATTAAAAACAAAATTTGGAACAATAGAAAATTTTGAAGTGTTTCGTACTGACGAGGGAACCTCTCCAGGTGTTAAATCGTTTTTCGCTCGGGACCATTGCCATTCGATAGATCCTAGTGAGCAGTGAAAAAGTCTATCTTGGTTTGGGTGTATGGGCCTCTGGGACTGAGATATTGAATTTTTAGTGGATTTTTCCTGCAGGATCCCAGTTTTCCAGCAAATTCATATTTTCGCATTTTGACCTGAAACTATGCTCCCAGGAAGACCTCAGCTAAACTAGCTTCCATAAAATATTTCAGAACTTTTGAGCAAAGTCTTTCTGAGATATGAATTTTTCAAGATATAGGCGCTTTTCCATAGATAGTGTATAAAACATGCATCTTTTGGAAAATTCATATCTCAGAAAGACTTTGTTCAAAAGTCTCAGAAGATATCTCAGTCCTAGAGGCCCATGCACCCAAACCAAGATAGACTTTTTCACTGCTCACTAGGACCTATCGAATGGCAATGGTCCCGAGCGAAAAACGATTTAACACCTGGAGAGGTTCCCTTGTGAGTTTTATTCGAAATATAAAGATCAACAGATCCCATTAACCGACACTTGCTTGGTTATTCAGCTATTATACAGTTGTTTTGTTTTATGTCTTTATTGATTCGCAACCAAACAAGGTCAGCGGTGCGAACCCCATTATCGACCTTCAATGTACATTTAAATAGAAAGAAAAACTTAATGGTAAAAAGAAAAAAAGGAAAAAACTAGACGAGCGAAAAAAAAGAAAATGAACAAGCAAAAAATTTATATTTTAAAGCAGCTATAGCATTTGTTAATGTAGATTAACTTATCAACGGTTATGAGTGATGATGGAGAGTGGAGGAAGAAAAACTTTTAAACGATGCGCTGCTGGTTATTTATTTATTTAATCGAAACGTTTTGTTTCATCTATGTAGATAATAACTTCCGTCAGAATACTGCGCATAAAATTATCATCAAAATTTAAGTCATTCAGTAGCAATACGTCCACACTGAGGTTAGAAAAAAAGTTCAATTTATTGCGCAACACTGTACGTTCGGAAATATATAACTGACATTTCAGTAAATAATGGTCTACATCTTCAATGTTTTTACCACAAGCGCAGTCCGGACTATCAATGCACTTACGTCTATATAAATAAGAATTTAAAGGAGGAAAACCCGATTTTAAGCGCATGAAGTTGATTCCAACTTCTCTACTTGGAAAACGTAACTGCTTAGGAAATTAGGTTATTTTCGTATCAATTCATTCCAATCAACTGCAACTAAAGAAAAAAAGTCGTTTGGAACAGGATCCAGACTCAACGGTAGAAACTTGATTACTACGCACGGCGTATCTAGTATTTTGCGGGCGATAATGTAAATGATAAGTTAAATACTGTGGTGCAAGGCCTTTCATGATTTTTGCAAAACTTAATAAACACAAAATCTTAAAGTGAGAACGTAAAGGAATCCAACCTAATAGTTCTAAACATTTATCCTTTGAACTCCCCCGCAATGCACCTATTACCACTCGCGCTGCATCATACTGAACTATGTCTAGTTTTTTCGAGTTCATGTCAGTAGTTAATGAGTAAAGTACTGCACCGTAATTTATTATAGTCAAAATACATGATTTATAGATAATTTCTAAAACATTCTGCATTAAAGTTCATTGATGATATTTCATTAAACCCACAATAGTAGGTGTTCCACTGTGTATTACTGTAAGGTATGGTGACATTATAGCTGGTGTTCCTCATAATGAAGAAGTGTTCCACCATCTGACACTAAATGGGTTGTTCACAAATTACGTGATCAAAGTATTTTTTTTAGATTTAAACAATGAATTTCGAAATGAATTTGAAACAATGAAGATTATTTTGTACGATAACGTCGAATGTCCTCAAGAATAGATGAAAACATTGGTTTATGTACAGAACGATACCAAAATTCGGCCAGATATGAGTCTAATAAATTAGTTCCTCGCATAATTCTTAAAATTTTTGTTTGCGCAGCTCCCCACAATGTTTCAATAAGTTGTGTGTGACAGCCGGTATGTGGATCAATAAAATTTTGAGAATGATTTACTGTCTGATGGTCGTAACCGTACGTTGGTTGCAAGCGTGAATAAGCTTTCCATTCGTCCGACCATATAGTAGTTCCAGGATAAACGTTTTTCCAAATAATTGGAAGCAACGTAACCGCATCAAGCCGCTGCACATGGAAAAAACGCGCCTCGTACCCCTCTGCCGTTCGTTGTGCGATTCCAAATATCCAGGGACCTAAACGAAGAAGAGAGATTTCTGATAAATGTTTCTCTTAGTTACGAAATATCTTACCATCCAGTCTGTCTCCATAATTTCTATTGTTATTTGCCTGAGTTTGATCATTGCTGGAATCTGAATCATCGCTCGAACTGGAACTTGAATATTGAACAAGACCGTTGTTATTATTATTATTATTATTGTTGTTGTTAGCAGCTGTGGCGTTGTTACGATTGCCAAGTAGTAGACGACCACGATTATATTTGCGTTTACCACGAAATAATGATTCATCTGTTTGTACTACTTCACCAATTCCACCCATCTGTGGGGCGTCATTCAGCTTCTCTTAGCAAACCTACAATAGATTAAGAGTAGAAACAAGTTATAAACGTTCTAGAAACCTTACGTCTCGCAAAACGTTAGTCCAATCAACCACAGTCGTTTGTGTAACATGTATCAAGGTGGAAATGGTTGATGATGACGTTCCCAGGCATTAAAGCCATATTAATTCCAGAATTGTACGCATATCAAGTTTTGAATTTGGTCGGTCTAATGCATTAGTAAATGAGAAAAACGTGTTTTTGCGAATACTTAATTAATTTCGACATTGTCGATTAGTACATCGCATAGTTGGATAGACCTTAACAGTACCATCTTTCAGTTTCTTCTTTCATGCACCATCAACCATCGAGGAATCACAATGACATGTATGATCTTCACTTTTCTGAGCCACCCTTTGGTCGCGAACGAATTCAGATAGCAAATTGTCATCATTTAATATTTTGTAAAATTCTCAATTATCAGTAGGAACAGCCATGATTGTTGCATAAGGTTTGTGATGAGAAATAGCATAACTTTCTCTCTTTTTATAGTCTAGTTCATACCGCATACTTAATGACAAGATTATTTGAAGGTGGAACACTTTTTCAAAGACTATCGGAACAGATCTAATAATTACCTGATCTATCTTTTATCTCATTTTTAGGTGTTTTCTTAGTGTCAGATGGTGGAACACTTTTTCATTATGGGGAACACTAGCTATAATGACACCATGCATTCACAGTGGAACACCTGCTATAGGAACACCCCTTAGAAACTAGGATATATGTTACGGCTGGGTCTGTGCAGCTACTTGTTTGTACCTGTTTTTACTTTAAACTCTATTCTTGGATTCGTTATTTTTATTTGTGATGAACCGAACAGAGTTTTCCACATACATTAATCACACATACCCTTTCCCGATACATAAGAAAATATCTCTGTTTATACAAAAATGAATGAAAAAAAAGAGAGATATAGCTTCGATTATTCTAGTCGACAATGAAAATAACAGTCCAAGTTGCAAGAGAGAAAGAAGTAGCGGTATGACAGTTCCATATCAGCTTCTATCATAGGAACTGTTGAAAAGTTCTTTTGAAAGCAGCTGATATGTTGGAACAGCTCTTTTGAAAGGAGCTGACATGTTCCAGCAGCTCACTAGTCGTCTAGACAAAATTTAAACGTCCCGAATGTTCACTAGACGTTCATACAAGGGGGAAAAAGCGGACTCCTGGACTTCAGGAGCGCCCAGTGCTTCGAGTTGAGCAGGCTCTTGCTTCAGCATGAAAGCTTTAGCAGTAGTCGTTGAAAAAATTTCAAAAGAGCTGTTCAAACATATCAGCTCCTTTCAAAAGAACTGTTCGAACATATCAGCTCCTTTCAAAAGAGCTGTTTAAACATATCAGCTCCTTTCAAAAGAGCTGTTCGAACATATCAGCTCCTTGTTACAGGTCTAGAAAGAAGTGAATTCTATAAAAGAAAAAACAGACAAATATCTTGTTTGTGTACAGTATGTAATTTTTAATGTGAACACTAGTCAGATACGAAAGAAACAAATTGAATTATAGTCAGCATTACTGTCTTCTCTCATATATGAGCTATAGTTTTTATAAGAAAAGTTCAGCAGCGTTCTGGAAAGAGAAGTGAACGGTATCCAGCAGTTCTGACTGAAATAGTTTTCTGCGTTTTGCACTAACATGTTGTGTTAAATATCTTTATTTATAGCTTCAGTTTCGTTTAGAATGAGAGAGTTTCGTAAAGATCTTACAATTCCTTGAAGTCTTGACTTACAAGATCTCACAACTCCTTGAAGACTCGAACTTCTTCCTAAAAGATTCTGCGTTCAATTTTCCACAAAAACTATATTGAACATTTTTTATATATGTTCATATATTGCAAGTTAAAGAGGACTAAAATTAAAAACTATCTTTTAGGATACAAAGTAATGGCGACTGGGGCAGCGCAGTGTTTCTATATTCTATCTATATTGCTTTGTTTATATCATGTATACAGATGTTCAATACAGTTTTTGTAGAGAACTGAACGGAGAATCTTAAAAGAAGTTCGAGTCGTGGGAATCAAAATTGACAGAGATATTGGCGAAATACTGGGTGACTTGTTTCTTCTGGTAAATCCGTTATATGAACATAAATACCTGCTTTCTAGAGTTTTCATCAAGATGACAGTCATCGCCTGTTTTTTCAAGAACATTTGTAGCGCGCATTAATATGTATGTCGCGGTAATTTTCTGTCCGCCCATCGAAAAACGTCACCCTCACTGATTTTGATTATCTTTTAGAATTACGGCACGGCAACTTATCCTCATTTCTGAATACAGTTGGATATAACCTTAATGAATTACCGACTGATAGATATATGATGATATATCCAAGATGACGATGAATTTGGATATAATAGGAAACAAGTTCTAACGGTTCTTACACCTTACTTTTTTTCATCTCGGATATATGCCACTGTATCTTTTCTCAAAAGTTTTTGACTGGGAAGCACAGTAATCTAACTCATTTCGTCAATAGGTTCGAAGCAAACCCATCGAACTTGCTCTAGGCAGTACTCTCTCCTATGAGACATAGATGTACCCAGCACTAGGTGAAGGGCTGACCATGGCCCACCTCTTAGAAATATCGCTTTCTTCATTTCCAAGTAGAAAAATATATTTTGAATCGAATCGAAAATAAAAATATTACACTGAAGTTTTAGCAAAAGCCGAGAACATTATCAGGCTGTGTAACCAGTAAATCTATGCTCTACCGAAGTACAGACAATTATATTTGTGAATCTGTTCATGCAAAAGACTTCGGAGATGCTTTTTTCTGTAACTGTTTTTTCCCTTTTTATTGAAGTACAGAAAACCAATATCTACCTCAAACTAGTGACACAAACAAAATATGCTAAATTCTCATAGTCTAAGCATGCTTCGTTCAAAGCAAGATAGAGATATCAGTAATTCATATTGCGTCTACCTCATGATTCACGTCTCCCAACTGACACCAGTAGCTTTCTATCTTAATAATTCAGATTTATTTAGCAGTTTGCTTTCTTATTACACTTAAGATAACAGAATGAGCAACGATCGATTTACACTTTGTCTATTATTATATTCGATTAGTCAAGTTTATGTTGTACATTCAGCTGCGAGTAATTCATTATCCAATTGTAATGCGATAGCTGCAAAGTTTAGTACAACATATAGTAATGGACCTGCAGCGAGCATAATATCGACAACAGGTACAAATGTTACTTGTGCATCATTAACAGGTGTATCATGTCCGGGTAGCACAAGTTCTGGCTCATGTGTATTTCAACATAAATTATGCATAACCTGCTATATGAGTGGTTCAACTGTTAAAATACGTGTTCAATCCAATGGATTACCACTCTTCTGTCCAAATATACCATCAGGTGTAACATTAAGTGAGCAAAATATTGATTTTTCAGTAAACTTTAATCCAGATGTGTCTGTGAATTCACCTTATATCACTGTAACAACACAAACAGCCATTGACTCTACTATTTGTAACGTAAGTAATCAAGCGACTCCACCATCTGCATCAGGTTTTACTGCAATTTCATCAACAAGCAACGGTATCGCGGGTGTATCCATTGATGGTGTTGCTATTTTGAATGCAAATAGTGCGAATAATGTTGATCCCTTTTATCCTAGTCCAACAACTATTGCAGCAGAACACGTTGATCAATGTATGGGACACCCTAATCCACAAAATATATACCATTATCATATTGGATCTGGATGTGCTCTTTCTGCATCGCAATCAACTAGTGTTCAGGCGTGTGCGACAGTTAGTAGTTGCATTTCTAGCATATCAACGTATAGTATAAGTCAATTTTCAAGCTATAAAACGTTAACTGTGATTGGAATAGCTAAAGATGGACATGTTATTTACGGACCATATGACTCATCCGGAAATCAAATTACAAGTGGTTATGATGTTTGTAACGGTGTGTTTTACGACTCGGTTGGTAATTATGCATATTTCGCAACACAAACGTTTCCGTATATATTTGGATGTTATGGTCCAGGTAATTATCCGACTGTATATCCAAGTTGTTCAACAAATCCGCCAACAAAATATACCAAAAGTATATATGCTGGAAGTAACATTAATGGTCTCAGTAACATATGCTATCTTCTGATTATACTCGTATCAATTTACATTAGTTAATGTGACTAGTAGCAGAATTACTGATACTTGTAAAACTCAATATATCTCATTGTCATTAAGATGGATTGCGCCTAAGTCAAAGTTCAATTTCTTGTATTTGTTCTGTAGAGTCCTTTTATAGTCGATTTTTAACTGGCACCCCGTATGTATATTTTTGTGTGGATCCGCCTCGGTATGGTCGATTACCCATGTTCCAGTTGTTTTGAACCTCGCACAGCTTGTTTATACTAGTTCTCAGTTTCCCAAATTTCATGTCGCGTCTAAACGACTGAAGATATGAACCTTGCGTGACTCCCACTTTGAAGAGGACATTTTGGGCTGCCTACCTATGCAACAGCTCAAAATTTTGTATTTCATGTTTTTGTTTTATGGTGTAGTTTTTCAAACATCCTCTTAGAACCCTACTTTTGAGACAGAATGTTTTCCATTATGGATGCAGCAGTCTCAGGTTTTGATTAGCGAACAACGCAGGACTCTATTACTTTCAAACGCTTTTGAAACCAGGCACGTATTGTCGCAGCAACATGTGATGATGATGTGACCAGTAGTGGACAAAGGTTAGACAAATATAACAAAAATAGTTAAAGAAAGTCTATTTCAACATAAGTTACTGCTATTTTACTTTCCGGATATCGACGGTACAATACCAACGCAAATTGCTCACACGATTGAAAGACCAAAGTCACAATTTTTTGCACTTATAGTGATAAAACTCCTCTTATTCCAGCAGGTAACATTTATCTTAGGTTACTTGACAATATCAGAAACAAAAGAAGCTCGATGCATATGAGTGAATCGTAACTTTTTTGTACAATTGATAAAAAAAAATGAAAGTGTTCCCAGAGAAAATCTGATTCGTACATTTTGTTCCTTATCATTCAGTGAATCTGTAGTAAAAATTTCCGCACTACCCGACTCGTCCTGGTCGAGATATTCGAGCATCACTTTCGGGTTTTCAACAAAAAACTTTTTAAGAGAAATTGCACCGAATATGCGTCGAAAGCCCACGTATGACATATCATTAGATAGATCTGACCTCGGATAATCTAATGGCACTCACAGCAATCGAAGTACGCCAAAAACAATCGCGAAAAATGTCAAAATACGCATTTCCCCTGGAAAAACTGCATAAAAAAGCCGATTTTTCTGAGGTTACGTGTTTTGAGAGTCTAAAAAACTGCGGAACATTGTTATATATCATCGTCTTAAAGCTCTCAGTCTACTCTGTGTTCTTTCAAAGTCCAGAGCCTTATTTTGGACACCGGGCTTAACCACATTGATTCAAGGTCATTTCGTTCACTACAGTTCTTGTTCATTTCTTATCATAAATATAAAAAGCAATAAAAACTACAGTTCTGAGCCAAGCTAGCTTCCAAGTAGTTCAGAATGAACA